CTCATGCTCTTGATGTGTCGTCTGGTTATCCCAGATCCAGTCTTCTGATCGTGTCTCTTACGATCGAGGAGATTATTGGGTATAACCTTAGGGTTATTGGTTTTTATAAGATTAGTCCGCTTAGCTCAGAGGATAGAGCACCACAATTTCTGTGGTAGAAATCGGTTCGACTCCGATAGCGGCCTTTTACAATGATATTATTATGTTTCAATTGCTTGTTTCTTTGTTTTTTCAATGATGGTTAGCTATATCTCTACTCTTTGTCTTGGATCTGCTAATGTTGTTTGTGGTTTGTTGATTTTTGTAAAATGATATATTGCAGTTTCGTTTCAAAGAACAACTTTTTAAACTCTGGAATGATTATACCAGATATTTGTAATCTTGCTTCACCTAAAGCTAATGCAGTTACTAGGCATGATAATTTATAATGTATTCATGTTCTGATTTGCTTGTATGATGATATATGATCTATCATCGCAATTGTGTTGAGGATTTTGTCCCTTCCAATGGTTTTGTTGCTCAAAGAGTGATTCTTTACTGTTCTCTCTAGTCTCGCTATGTTAGTCTAGTTCTGCTATAAATATTCACTTGATGTAATCAAGTTGGCTTGGGTTTCCAACTTGTTATTTGTTGAAAGTTGTAATGGTTCCGCGTTGCAACGGTAGTTGCTGTATTGTTCTAATCATTTAGTTGTTTTGTTGCAGATTCATTTTAGCAGTTCGCTATGGGTAAGGAAAAGGTTCACATCAACATAGTGGTCATTGGTCATGTCGACTCTGGAAAGTCGACCACCACCGGTCACTTGATCTACAAGTTGGGAGGTATTGACAAGCGTGTGATCGAGAGGTTCGAGAAGGAGGCTGCTGAGATGAACAAGAGGTCATTCAAGTATGCCTGGGTGTTGGACAAGCTCAAGGCTGAGCGTGAGCGTGGTATCACCATTGACATTGCTCTGTGGAAGTTTGAGACCACCAAGTACTACTGCACTGTCATCGATGCTCCTGGACACCGTGACTTCATCAAGAACATGATCACGGGTACCTCTCAGGCTGATTGTGCCGTCCTCATCATTGACTCCACCACTGGTGGTTTTGAGGCCGGTATCTCCAAGGATGGTCAGACCCGTGAGCATGCATTGCTTGCTTTCACCCTTGGTGTCAAGCAGATGATCTGCTGCTGCAACAAGGTATTGTGTTGTGTCTGCCCTATTCTGGAATCACTGGATTAGCCCGTTAAAATCTGGATCGTTCTGATTTCTTTGTATGTGTCGTTCCACAGATGGATGCCACCACCCCCAAGTACTCCAAGGCCAGGTCCGATGAAATCGTGAAGGAAGTGTCTTCCTACCTGAAGAAGGTTGGTTACAACCCTGACAAGATCCCCTTTGTCCCCATCTCTGGTTTTGAGGGCGACAACATGATTGAGAGGTCCACCAACCTTGATTGGTACAAGGGTCCCACCCTTCTTGAGGCTCTTGACCAGATCAATGAGCCCAAGAGGCCCTCGGACAAGCCCCTCCGTCTGCCTCTTCAGGATGTCTACAAGATTGGTGGTATTGGTACTGTCCCAGTGGGCCGTGTTGAGACTGGTGTCCTCAAGCCCGGTATGGTTGTGACTTTTGCTCCGTCTGGATTGCCAACTGAGGTTAAGTCTGTTGAGATGCACCACGAGGCTCTCCAGGAGGCTCTCCCCGGTGACAATGTCGGGTTCAATGTCAAGAATGTTGCTGTCAAGGATCTGAAGCGTGGTTACGTTGCATCCAACTCAAAGGACGACCCGGCAAAGGAAGCTGCCAACTTCACATCGCAGGTCATCATCATGAACCACCCCGGTCAGATCGGTAACGGGTATGCCCCGGTGCTCGACTGCCACACCTCCCACATCGCCGTGAAGTTTGCAGAGATCTTGACAAAGATCGACAGACGTTCGGGTAAGGAGCTGGAGAAGGAGCCCAAGTTCTTGAAGAACGGAGATGCGGGTATGGTGAAGATGATTCCGACAAAGCCGATGGTGGTGGAGACATTCTCGGAGTATCCGCCTCTGGGGCGTTTTGCGGTGAGAGACATGAGGCAGACGGTTGCTGTCGGAGTCATTAAGAGTGTGGAGAAGAAGGACCCGACAGGTGCGAAGGTGACAAAGGCAGCTGCCAAGAAGGGTGCCAAGTGAACGTTGTTGGTCCAAACTCCTACTCTATCCGCAGATGAAAGAAGTAGAATCTTTCAGAGTGTTTCGAAAGAGGAAGACTTGTTACTTGTTATTCCTGGTTTTTATTATTGTTATTTTGCTGTTTTGCTTTTGAGGTTTTTGTGGTACAGCTTCGTCTCTCCGTCGTGTGAGCTCCGTTCTCGTAACTGGGTTCTCGATCGACGGTGGCGGCGTTAAGCTTCTCCACTGAATCTCCGATGGCAGTTTTTGTTTCTTTGTTCTTATGTCTCCGGCTCTGTTCCGAACCTTTTTTTTTTCAAGTGTCTTTGTTTTCCGTACCTTTATATGACCATCGCTTTCTGCGTTTACTTATTTTGTTGGCTTATTATAATTTTCCGATGAGATTTTGTTCTAACTCTCTTTTATTGTTCTGTACAGTAGTTGGTGACAGGTGTCGGCTGATATCTGTAGAATCCATTACCATTAGGGAGAGAGGTCTACAATATCAATCCAATTTTCCCATTCTTTTCCAAGCGTTGTATAACAGATTTGCACCCTTATAGCCCAAAATGTTATTTAGGTTATTAGTAGGGTTATAAGCAAAAATACTAAAGAACAATAAGATGCGTTTTGCTTTTATCATTTTCCTTCCAATCCTGTCGCATGGTTTTCTCTACTGTTTCCCAAACCAGTTAAAATAAAAACTATCTCTACAGCTGCCAAAACTTGAAGCATCTCTCAAACGAACAACTACCAATTCGATCCTCAGATTCTTCTTCCTCTTCTTCTTCTGGAATTAATCATCAGTTTCGGATTCAAGAACTTGGAGAATGTTGAGAGCAGAAGAGCCAAGGTTCATCCCACGAACCACGCCTCCGTACCCTTCATTGATTCTGTGACACATCAGCAACAGAGAGTCCCAAAGCGCCGTCCTTCCCTGTTGAACGAAAAAGGAAAACCACAATACATAGATCCTCATCAAATTTTTCACTGTAAAACTATGAAACTAGTCAGGGATAAGAATTGGTCCAAGAATCATCGGTTCACTGAATCAATATCACTTCTTTGGAAGGAATCAAATCATGTAAAAGGATGTCCCCCCAATTATCGTGCATCCGTTACCAATACCAATGAAAAATGCATAAAAAGTTTTTAGAAATGAACACAAAGCACCTACCTGAAGGGAAAACTGCAGCTTCTTATCCCAATACAAGGCAAAAGAAGGGGGACTTTGCTTGTCAACAGCTAACACACAGGCACCCGGGTGGAGAACTGAAGGAACGCCCGATACCAATGCAATGTACTTCTCGGGGAATCTCTCTTTGGGTGGGAGCACCCCCAAGAATAGCGGGTTCTTGCTAGCCTGTGTTCCAGTATAGGAGCTGGGATCCAGATGTAACATCCACTTCGGGTGTTCCAAGAATGCGCAGAACAAGTACAATAGCAGATGGGAATCAGTTGGAAGCTCCAGGCTCCATTTTTTGTTCTTCTCGCGAGATTCAGCTCTTCCGTTATACTCATAGTTCTTCACGCAAGTTCCTTCGGCAAGTTCTGCCAACAGCAAAGATTAGTATGGACATAAATGAACCGAGTAATCATTTAGAAACGACATGTTTAATCAGAAACCTCTTATTCTTTGCACAGTATAATCTGCCGGAATGCTGCTGCGTGGAAGTAGACCCTTGGCCCACTCTCCTTTCATCACGGCCTGAAGCCTCTGATGCTCGGTTATAGCATCAACACACCCCTGCATGACAGGTATCATAGCAGCTTGTTGTTGCTGTTGCTGTTGCTGCTGGTTCTCGGAACGCAACTTTTCTGCAGATCAGAGCTATCTTTAGATACAAACATACCAGAGATCCTTAAAATGACACTCCAAAACCGTTTCTCCTTGCTTCTCAAGTTCTCATGCTTTATTCTGCACTATGTTTGAGGAAAGCCAAATCTATGGTAGTTCAGTCAGTTTTAGATCAACAAATGCCCATTCTATCCATGTACCTTCCCAATAGCACTTCAAATTGACAAGAACAAACTTTTGAACCATATCACCTGGTATTTTTAAGCATATCTACTTACGCATGGAAGAATCAATAGCTTGTACAAGGGATGCACGCAATTGATGAAGAACTGCATCTTCATCGAGAGAGTAAGCTGATTGCCACCCCTTAGTCCGATCAATTGGTAAAGCAGAGGCAGCTGTTCCATTAGCCGGCAAATCACTTCCAACTTGACTCACTGTGACTGTAGCACCTAGCTTTGCTGCTGTTTGCATTACCTGCATATGTAACAAATTTAAATGTTTCTGGTAATATAGAGAAAATATGAAATTTTCATTTTTCCTTCGATAAATTTAGTCATTTCATGTCTCCAGATACGAACCTGAATATGACTGATTTCGACCTTGCTAAGCAAAGGTTTGAGCAAAACCGAGGAAAACCACTGCCTAAGTCGGTCACGCCAGTATTCTATCCGAGGATAAACACCCAATCGCTGAAAACCTTCAATAGCCTCTTCTAAGGACATTGGGGAAGGAAAATCAGCCTCTCCTTTCTTTGGAGGAGTTGTAAATTTCTGAGAACCAGGAGACATCCTGACTGGTCTTAGTGGTGTAGTCCTACTAGTGCCAGATGCAGTAGCTGAGCCACCAACCGTAGTAGGACTAGCCATGCCAAAACTCCCAACGGTTGGTGGAGGGGTCAGCAACTTTCCAGCTGATTCAGTGAATTTCTCATCTATTTCAGCCAAAAGTTGGTCGAGTTGTTCCTCCGTCGATACATCCTTCACAGAGCTCCGCTTAGCAGACCAAGGACTGGAAACAGCCTTGTCCTGGCCAGATGAAACTCGAGTGGAGGAACCTGGCGAAACACTTGAAGGGACAAGATAGAAAGACGGTGAACCTGCTGTTTTGGATGGAGTGCTAAAAGGACTAAGTTGATTCGCATTCCAACCACTCGATCTGTCACCACCAGCCACAGGTTTATGTGCTGAACTAACAGTAGTTTGATGTATTGGGACAAGCGGCTCCGATGACTGAAGAGATTTTGATTTGGGAGGTTTCCTTGGAGATTCAGATACCGGTGGCTGATTGGCTTTTGGCTTGACCCCGAGAAGCTCAAGCTGACGGTTTGTCAGAGTAAACCGATCTTTTGCTTCGTTGGATGACAATTTAACTTCTGCTCCAGCAGTAAAAGTTGCTCTGCGTAGAGACACACCTTTGGCTAAAGCAGTAACCATTCCAACAAATACTAAAGTCGCCAACGCCTGCAACGCCTTAGCTAAGGCATCTGAGGCGGAAAGATTGAGTACAGACTTCAGACACAGACAAAACAAAAGTCTACGTACATAGAAAAAGTAAATTTCCCCAATAAAACATGCAACTTACAAGCTGTCTCGTGGGATAAATTTCCAATTGTTAAAGCATTGATCAACCTCTTCTCCCTGCAGAGATAAGCGAGCAGAATATCAGTCAAAACTGAATTCCAAAAGACAAATTATCGCCAATTTTTATCATTGATTACTCCTGGTCAGTTTTTTTCTTGTCCCCTCAAAAGTATAACTATATTTTCTTCGTTCATCCCCAGATACGGATACACCCGTATCAACTCATCCATAAGACATGCAGAAAAATAATACAAACTCTGCGTTTTATCGAAAACCCGGCGAAACCCATTTCCTGTCTGATAGGTGTCGGAAACCAAACAAATCCTCAAACCCTAGCCCAAAACCCAACGCTAATATCCTCCCACAACAAGACTCTTGTCTTCCTAACTCCAACACGAAGCTCAACTACATCTCGAACGTACCCGGAGATAAAGTAGAAGAGGAAGAAAGCGGAAGCCGTAGAGAGAGAGAACACAAAGAAGAGGAAAGATCTCGAAGGGCGGAGACTGTTGGCGGTCCAAGCGGCAGCGAGAGTAGGGTTCCGGTACACTGAGAACTTTGACGGCTTCGGAGAAGGAGATGAGCCCAAAGTGCCTCCACTCTTCTTCGCATCGGAATCCATGGCAGAAGCGAATCTCTGGAGAAATCCAAAGCTAGGATTTAGGATTTTGGGGATTCTCCGATTTCGTCCCGTCCGTTGTGTAGCAGCAGGTGACGAGCCCACACCTTTCAAAGGGGTTTCCAGTCTGAAAAGATTTATTAGAACGATGCATCCATTTTGGCCAAGACAAAAACCTCCGACTCTGGAAGAGTCTTCGAACCTGGACAAAACGACGTCGTTGTACCAAAAACAAGAAACTTCCTGACACGGTTCGAGTCTTTTAGAACACTTGCGTAGAAGAATCCAATCTGAACAAATAGAATCAGACAAACCCAACCAAATACTGAGCGACACATATGATTACACATTTCGCAGACCAAAAGGTAACCCTAATCGGTTCAGAACGAAATGGGCACATTGGAAAAAAGGTTTAACTACGAGAAATATTCAGCCTGCGTCTGTCACGGCCGCTTTCCATTGTTCCAATGCATCCTCTGCTTTAAGTTTCTCAGGAACATAATCTGCGCAAGAGAATTATGAATATGTACAAAAAGTGATGATTACAATAACAAGGCTGGAGAATAATCAAGAGTCAGGTGTGTGTTTGATGGGTAAGGATAACAAAAGCACCTGAAAGGAACTCATATCTCTCCTCGTTGCTCACTACAGACGCTGCAAAAGAAACGACAACCCCATTTCACAAACGTGTTTATATGCGTAAAATGTTGATCAATTTACGGTAATCGTGAAATGAAAGTGGCATTGCAGACAGATTAACTCATCAGCTTGAGAATAACTGCCGGCGGATCTTTTACATTTGCATCAACAGAGAGCACGAGGTTATCCAAAATGTTAATCATATTCTACACCTCTAACCTATCAGAGCATCAGCATGAGAAACTAATAAGTCAAAGTTCAAATGCAAAGTGCAGTTAGAATGTGGGGTTGATAGACATTGAAGGTGCAAACTGGAGGGATAAAAATCCGCTTACAGACAAAGATGAAGCGAAGGTAGTGAGGGAACGGGAACTTACAGAGGTGTTTGTAATGGATGAACTTCTTTTTGTCCTGGATCGAACAGTCATAGGCATCTTCAGAAAATCGCTCGATGAACATTTCCTATTTTTAACGGAAAAAAAATTTGTTTACCATGTTGTAAATGTCATGCGTAATATATTAGGAACAGAGATTTTGAAGAATACAACGCGAGACTGCCCAAAAAAACAAGAAGAAAGCGGGTGAAAACCCATGTACAGAGTGAACAGAAATATACATGTCAATGATGTCAGTCCTTTTTAGAGTCAATTTTACAGGTGATACTTCAAATGAAATGTTAAGGAACACATACAAACATGTGCCATTGAGGAACAAAACTGTTTACGCTATTGGATACCTTGTTTTCATAACTATTCCAAAAGAGATGAAACCTTCTTCTTAAATTTTTTTCTTCTATATCCAGATCTGGAGCAACTACAAGTTCAAGCAGATTCTTACAGTAAGCTGCAAAACCTGACCGGCCCTAACCGTGTTACAGAAGAGCAATTTACGGGAATTCATGTTCAGCCAGTGATATTAGGACTTGGTCAAGCATTTAGAACCTCAACAAGAAATTTTAATACAGCTACCCTGTGATAATAACACTATAAGCCTATGGATGAGGTAACCACATAAATCCCAGATACATTCACTGATGCAAACTGAGTATAACTCAAACTTTCAGCATATAGCAGATAATCTCCTTGTTTGTAGCAAGCTGCGAGACTATAAACCCCTAATTCACACGGTTAGCAGTTGATAATCCCAAATTCATCTGTGAGGAAACGAATCCCTAAAATGGAATTTACTCATCCACACTGCCTATGCCATATACACGATAATTCTATGATCGTAGCGTAGCCTTGTCAATTGGAAACCCTAACCGGTAAATTAATCTTGAGATTAATCATTAAAAAAACTAAATACCGTGGCCTTGTTAACGAGGAATACGGCGTCCTGCGTGATGTGAGAATTGACATTTTCGATCCTCATGATCCGCCGAATCCGATTCATCGGAAACCTACACAACTTCGCATCCTCCACGCCTCCACCGCCGTCCTCCTCCTCCTCATCATCATCATCATCATCCTTCCGCCTCGTCTTCGGAATCCCGACACTCTTCCCGTTACGACTCTTACTTCTTCCATTGCTCTTCTGAATTTTCTCTCCTCTTTCAATTTCTTCGGATTCTCCGGTCGAATTCTCGGATATCTCATACACCTCCTGCTCCTCCACAGCGGCGGCGCCGCCTCCGTTCACCTTATTCTGCTTCTTATTCGCTTTCATATTTGTAGCGCCATTGCTCCGCGGCTTCTCTTTCTCCTTGTCGTCCTTCTTCCGTTTCTTAGAAGACGCCATTCTTCCAAGCTCTGCTCTGCATTCTCCGAGAAATCAATGGAAATGGATGCTTTAACATCTGGGCTTAAAAGTTTGGGCCGATGGCTTGAATATTGTTGTAAATTTTATACCCATCACAGAAATCATGTCTCCGGTGACATAACAATAATAATATTAAATCTATAGTCTTACCACACGCGTATATATATTATATATCACAGATTTGTAAAATGGATCATCGTAATATCATCTAAAATTTCGAGAAGCAATTCTAGCATTTATGGCACATATACATTCATGAGTAGTATCCTGAAGAAACCATTTTTCTGAACTTTTTTTTATTACAATTTCGTAATTGAATATGTAAATGAATATTCAAATAATCGCAGGAAATAAAACCTGTGACAGATGATTAAAATATTGATTAGCTTAAACTAATTGCACAACTCAATAATTGTCATCATACGTTGTAACCATGGTGGAACCTAATCATGCATGGGCCGGCTTTGCAGAGCAATTCTTCTGTTCATGACACCAAACACATACTTGGGTTATAAATTATGTTTTCTTCATTGTCCAAAAAAAAACCCCATAACAGTATGGGACTTTAGGCCCAGAAGAAGATGAGACGACCCACACAAATTTTCCAAGAGTTAGAGGATTGCGTGAAGTGCACGAAACCCATTGATAGTTCTAAAGGCCGAGGCCCAAACCACGATCCGGGTCCGGCTGTCAATGGTGGATGGATCATCCTCGTTGTGGTGGAGAAGATGATTTATGCAGAGAAAACGTGCCTAATCAGAAACAGGACCACTGGTAGTTGAGGAAGACGGGGAAGAAGCAATCCCTAGATTTCGTCCGATTCTCGCGCCATGGCATCGGAATCGAGCTCTTCTCCTTCTTCCTCTGTCACCGAATTAGCCGATCCGAACACTAGTCCCGATCGCAGAGCGAATTTGGAGAGTGTCGGCGATCAATTGGCCTCGATGGGATTGGCGGAGCCAAGCGAAATCTCCGATGGCAGTCACACCGAAGACGGAGGTCGCTCCCCGGAGGAAGAGGATGACGACACGGAGATCGCGTCGGCCAACGGAGACGGAGAGAGAATCGGTGTGGCAGAGGAATTGGAGGGAGCGGTGTGGTTGACGGCGGAGCGTACGGTGGAAATGGAGGTTGTGGAGGAGCCGGAGAGCCCCACCAGCAGCGGCTACGTTGGGGAGAGAGGGAGCAGCGATGAGGGTACCACCTCCACTTCTAGAGCCGTTGACGACGATGCGAACGACGATGAGATTCAAGAAGGCAAGGTGGACGGCGAGGGGAGAGCTCCGTGGCTGCCCGGGAAACGTCATGTCGACGAGGTGAGTTTAGAACAGTTCTTTGCTTCTAATTGTTGGCGCCAAACTACTTACAGCGTCCTCTAGAGAGCCAGTTACTGTAGAAAGTATTCGGTTTCTTTCATGGATCCTTGGATTTGTGATTTCTGGGTCAGACGCCGAGAGGGATTTTTGTTGATTAGCAACTTTAGCCAATTTGCAGAACCTTGGGATTGAGGGTATCTTCTATTCTAAGTGTACTAGTAAAGTAACACATTTTGATAAGGGTGTCTATGTAAATGAGATGATTATTGGTTCCCGTTCATACGAGTTCAGAATCTGATAATAACACCACTTGGCTAGTTTTACCAATAGCGTTGTTTAATTCTGTAACTTTTTTGTTGCACTATTAACCGTGATTAAATGTTGGTCCCGTGTATAAAATGTTGTCATTCTACCACAATTGATGTTATTATGCGGAAGAGCATTGTATACACTTTTAAACATGGAATGGAATACTACCCCTCACAGCCCTCAAATGTCACAAACCTCTCCTGTACTTGATTTAGTGAGTTATGCATGTTTACCCATCGCTATTGTTTATTCAATCATCAGTAGTTAGATCTTGTTTCTGCAAATGTAATGCAGGATGATGCTTCTGTATCATGGAGAAAGAGGAAGAAGCATTTCTTCATATTGAGCCACTCTGGCAAACCTATATATTCCAGGTCTTGTCATCATCGCAGAATGTTGGTGTTGTGCTGTTAATCCTTATATTAGTTTCCGATCTGGTGAATATGAGATTCTCTTATTGGCTTTCAGATATGGAGACGAACATAAGCTTGCTGGATTCTCAGCTACTCTCCAAGCTATTATCTCCTTTGTGGAGAATGGGTAAACTGCACTTGCTCAGTTTGGTGGTCTTTAATCTTAATGGTTTCTTGTGGTCTTTGACTCGCGACTTTGATGCCTAACCCATTACTTTTCAGCGGTGACCGTGTCAATTTAGTAAAAGCTGGAAAGCACCAGGTATCACAAATTTCCAGGGCTGTCATTTTGTTGTTAAGACTGCGATAACTATAAGAGTTCATTCATCAGATGCTTTTTTCATTTGCGTTTATCTTTTGAGATGTTTTATACCGAGAGCAAGCCTCATATTATTTGTGTTCAAACATCACTACCGAACATGTTTTGCCTCATTTAAATTCGCAACTCCCTGGTCAAATTCAGGTGGTATTTCTTGTAAAGGGACCAATCTACCTAGTCTGCATCAGCTGTACAGATGAAACATATGAATCTTTGAGGGGACAATTAGATCTTTTATATGGTCAGGTAACATTGGACTGCTGCTCCATTTCCTTTCTTTTCTTTGATAGTTTTAAATTAGTTATTTAACTAACCAATATGTAGTGATATTGATGCAGATGATACTTATTTTAACAAAGTCGATAAATAGGTGTTTCGAGAAGAACCCAAAGTTTGACATGACACTTTTGCTTGGAGGAACAGATGTTGTCTTCTCTTCTCTTATTCATTCATTTAACTGGTTTGCGTCAAAACTCCTTCAAGTTGTGCCGTCTTGACCTTTTTCTTTTGTCTGTTTCTTATTTCTGAAATGGGACTAGGCTGCTGCATTCTGCGACATTCGACTTCCTTTACTGGAGGAACAGTTGGATTAGTTAATCTGCTGTTATTTTAGCAGGATACTCAAATTTGGTGTTCATGAAAAATGTGATTGATGGGGACTCTTTTGTTGTGGCTGGAATCGCTGCCGAAAGCTGTTTGAAAATTATACATAACGGTATTTTAGAGCAACATTGTTGAAGGAATAAATATTTTAACGGCAAAGTAGAATTGGTATAGGGATGAGAGGCTTCGGGACTGAAAGCTCTTATTATAAGAGGAGCCTGTTCAAAACTTTCATGTTTCTTTTCCTTCCCATTCCTGAAAGTTTGTGATTCTTCCTGATGTGTCGTCTCCCTTTTCCATCTTGATCTGAGCATCAGTTTGGAAATAACCTAACCACCTTTGAGGATATTTTCAATTTCAGGAACCCTGCAGCCTTCCTTCATGCATACACTTGTCTTCCCCTTTCATATGCGACAAGGCAGGTTTCAGGGGCCATATTGCAAGATGTTTGTGGCTCCAATGTTTTGTTTGCTCTTCTAATGTGCGGACACAAGGTGAAATCACTCCCTCAAAAGGATCGAATTAGTTCGAGTTGCATTTTCATCCCAGTTAAATAACTAGATGTTTGACTGCAGGTTATCAGTCTTGTTGGCGCGCAAAAAGCTTCTATCCATCCTGATGACCTACTGTTACTTTCAAATTTCATCATGTCATCTGAATCCTTCAGGTGAGTGCTAGAAGATTCCATTCTTCCACCCATAATGAACTAAACATTCTATCAAAATTTGATTTTACTGGTTTTGGTCTTTTGCAGGACGTCTGAATCTTTCTCACCAATCTGTCTGCCAAGATATAATCCTCTGGCATTTTTGCATGCCTACGTCCACTTCTTTGATGTGAGAATTCATAAACACATTTTAATCTCATCTGTAGCCTAGGAAGTGAAACATCATTTTCCTTTGCATGGCAGGATGATACCTACGTCACGCTGCTTACAACACGTTCTGATGCCTTTTATCATCTCAAAGATTGCAGGTTCATATCAGTAGTTTCGACATGATAAAAGTTCAATAACAATTCTGCATGAGAATGGTGCTAGTATCGAGATTCATGAACTTCTATGTGCCAGGATTCTGATTGAAGATGTTCTTCTCAAGTCAAATGTTCTTAGTGAGGTTCAAAGGTCAATCATGGAAGGTGGAATGCGTGTAGAAGATTTGCCCGTAGAACGGCGGCTTCGGCATAGACCATCATCTACCTCTCAGCAAGGACAAGGTATAAACCCACACGATGCTCATGCTCCCGAGAGATTCAGGGAAGCTACTGTTGGGACTGGGGGTCCGGCTGGACTTTGGCATTTCATTTACCGCAGTTTCTACTTAGATCAATATGTATCTTCAGAATTCTCACCACCAATAACCAGTCACAGACAGCAAAAGAGGTACGGCCATGAATCTTCCTGGGACATCCGTAAATGAAAAATCAATGGAGGATACTAATATATAATTGCCTTGTAGTTTATATCGAGCGTACCAGAAACTTTATGCTTCTATGCATGAGAAAGGACTGGGACCCCACAAGACTCATTATAGAAGAGATGAAAACTACGGTAACAATTTACTTACCCCTGGAATTTCCCATGGCTTTTCTTCTGGGTGAATTGACGTTGTTGTTCTTGCATAATCGCAGCTCTTCTATGTTGGGTCACACCGGACTTTGAGCTTTATGCTGCATTTGATCCACTTGTGGACAAGGTAATGTTGTAATTAAGAGGTTACACATCTGTTTAGCTTTAGGTATGAAACATAAGTTTGGTAATGGAGCTGCAGTGGAATTCCTAACTGGATTAGTCAATCGAAACATAGTGATAGAAACTCCTTAGGGTTTGAACCCTACGACCAAAAAATCAGATTTGACAAAAGTTTTGAAACTTTGATAACAGGCGTTGGCGATAAAGATATGCAACAGGGTGTGCCAGTGGGTAAAGGATGTGGAGAAAGAGATTTTCTTGCAGGGAGCAAGCCCCTTCTCCTGGTGAATAAGTACTCCTCTCACATCCAATTTTTTGGATATATATATATATATATTCAAAATTTTCGATTTTGGGGTTTGGGTTTTTTGGTGGGGGAAGAAGTAGAAGGGGTCAAGAAAAGAGTGTAATGTTTTGAGGCCTCGATTGGATTTTGAAGCCTATCCTCCTCATGTGCTGAGAAGGCAATAGCTGAGCCCCCACTCTTTTTTATTATTAAGAGTTTTAGATGTGCACTCTTTATTAAAAAAAAATGTTCAAACTAAAGTAAGAACTCCCCCAACCTACGGGAACTGAATATTATAAGATTCCTTTAGAGCTTGTTCGAAATTGTCTTAATTGGGAGAAATCATAACAGTGTGAGAGTGTATATACGTATGTATGTGTGTATGTATGTGTACATATGAATGAGCTTTTGGCTATGACAACAATGCCCAACAGCGGCCAACATCGTTCCACAGTTCGGTGTTCGGTTACTAAAACACAAACGATATTTGATCTGCTCAAAGCCAATTCAGTTCCACAGGAACTGGTTTTCGAAGAATCTCAAAACAGATAAATATCCGAATAACACCGCCATGTTTTTTCGACGAGGCCTTCATCACCATCATCGTCATCATCTAATCCGTCCTAATCTCACCAAAACTATACACGGAAAACACCAACAATGCCCCCAGTTGTAATGTAACCAAGAACGAACACGAACCAACCAAAAATATTTTCACACAACCGGCAGTGTATGCATACATGCATGCATACATACATACATATGCATCTCCCGAAACTCAGCGGGAAGCAAGAGACCAGAAGTTGAAGAGAAAAGAGGGTAAAGCAGCAAACCAGCTTATGAAGGCCAATGCAGTTGAAGTTTCAAACTGAACACAGTGGTTTTGAGCGCAGCTGTTGAGATCGTTGTCTATGAGGACCGTTATTCCAGCCGAAGCACATGCAGCTGCGAATGTCAGTGTCGATGTAACCTGAAATCGAAATTTTTATTTGATCATTTTACTCTTCTCATAACATATAATTGTTCATTTTTTCCCCTGAAACAGTTTATGAGGTGATTCATAAGACAGAAGCATTTTCTTTCAGTGAAATTCCTTTTCTTTTTTTCTTTTTGGTTTCTCTGTCTGTTGATTAGTTGCATAAGAAAGTGTAACAGTCTCACCCCATCACCAACGGCAAACAAGCTGACGGCTCGGCGGTTCTGCAGTGAACGTTTAACCAAAATGGCGTAGGCATCGACCATTGCCAGTGTAAGACTCCACAAGCTCTGTAAGCCAGCAGCTGCAACTAGGTAACTGATGCAGCAAATATATAAACATTACCTCAGAAAGAATGGCCTATCAAAGTGCAGTGCTAAAGGCAGACGAACACCAAAAACAGGATTGTTATATCCTAGATAAACCCTTTGAAGAAAACTAATCTAGCATGATGACATTCATTAGCATGATGTCCTCTAGAATGGGGGAAGAAGCCTATCTGGCATCAGTCAGCAGCTAAATCTTTGCTTGAACTGAATTTTGAAAAATATCAAGGTGTTTTTGATCATGTGTAAATACATACAGAGACAAAAAACAAACAAACTTGACAACCAATCTCTTTGCTGTTATATTGCTTTCTACAGGACTTGGCAGTGGAAGCAACAAAACAGATTCAAGTTCATGGTCTACCAAATAGATCTACTGGTGCCACACCTTAACCATGACCTTTTCCTCAACATTCACACCTTCTGGCCAAAAGTTAAATTGATATTTAAGGTAATAACTAACACCTAATACTGCTAGATGGAAAATGGAGCTATTACCAAAAGGCAGTGACGGAAGGGAAATCGCTCGTGGTTGCCATGACGCAGAGTGAAGCAGCAGCAAACAGAAACTGGAAGAATCGCAGTGCAAGCCCAAGTAGGGTTCCTGGCATGCCTTGTATATTGTCCATCCTGACCCGAGGCGCATTATCTGCCTCCGTGGCTGGAGGGTCTTCAACAGGATGAACCGATGCATGGCTCACGTTCATCTCTCCCTTCCCTTCCTCCACCACGACTGTTCAAAGCATCATCCTACCTTCCACACCTTCTCTTTTCCTCTTTCTCTCTGGCTCCCTCCCACTTGTGGCACAGAGCAGTGCAAATCTCCAATTCGCTGATTCTTCTCCTGTAATTACACCCAGATGAAAAAACAATTAGCCCACCACAAACAGCTGAATCATTCAAACTTCTTAGGTTGTCGTTGAAACATCTAAAGGCTCTCGGCAACTGTTTCCAACGATTGCAATTGATATGAAAAACTTAGTCGAATAATCTCCAGTCTATGTTATTTAAGGCTCTCGGCAACTGTTTTTCTCGGCTAGAATCCGCTGAAATTTCCCGTGAACCAAACAAAACGACGACCATCTCACCAGAAAGCCACTCGCCACCATTTCAAGGCACCGAAAGGCCGATTTCAAGTCCTTTTACCACCGGAACCAAACAGAAAACGTAGATCCAATGGTCACGGAAATGAACACGAAGATCGAGTAGCGAAGAGTAAGAGATCGGTTACCTGAATCGAGCAGAGAGCAAGAAATCGAGAGAAGCGACACAACCTCGGAGAACGAAACAAAAAAAAAACCCTAATCAGATTGGGGAAAAGTTAAGGTTTAAGCAAAGACATGGATCGATTGGAGGGATGTCTAAGCCGAAGAGAAAGGTCAGCAGCAGAAACCTTTTTTTTCTTGGGAGAAAAATAAATTATTCCAAATAGGAAACTGTGTCGTTAGCCATATGGTCAACGTAACTCCTTTGGTTGAGGCGAGTATACAAAAAGGGAAACTATACTCGCGACTTCATTGGCTGATCATGAAAGTGGCATTGCCAAGGGATTTTTCTGTATCAAATGACCTTCTTTTTATGGTAAATTGAAAAGCAGAGACTTTTTTTTTTGGTAATTTATGGAAATACATATGCCAAAAATTTCAATTGTTTTTTTTTTCAAAAGCATATATTCCATTATTAGGTAAACCCCATTACCCTGTAAGTGGATAAAAAAATTTAGTTTGTATTTAATATGTAATTAAAATTTGAGATGAGTTACCCAACATGGGTAGTTCAACCGGTGAAACGAGAGCGCAAAACGTTTGTCTCGTCTCGAGTTCGAACCCTAGGTTGGGGAGAGAGCGCATAATTCAAATTACATGGCTAACTTTCGGTTCGGGATTAGTTTGGGATTCGATCCAGAAAACCCGGTTACCCAAAAAAAAAGTTTGAGATGGGTTTTGGTGATAGTAGTTCTGTCCTTTTACTACTGCTAGTGTGCAAAATCAAAATGGGCAAGAAAAAGAAACAGACAAATAAAGGCATGAATTTGAGGTGGGTATATCTCTTGGACTAATGGATTGAGTGGCAATTCCTTAGGATAGAAAAAAATAAATAAATTCAATTTTGGGTAGAATATTAAACGAATTCACCCTTTAAATCCGGTCTAAATTCTGTTTGGATCTTTCTGTGTGTGTTTTTTTCGATGAAATGGAAATGCTCGCTTCTACCTCGCCTCATCTAAACCAAGAAGCAGGAACCTAATCCACAGAGAAGACAAGAAGAATACGAGAGAGAGAGAGAAAGAGAGAGAGATGCCATTGAAGAATGAAAGAATAGGATGAGTTATTTCAAAGGGGCCTTAACAGGGGGGGAAACAAAACATGAGCATACAGTACAGTGGCTTCACCTGTTTTCCTCTCTTGAAAACAAATGTCGCATCTGCTCGCAGGATACATAATAAACACATAAATCAGACGACACTAAACCCTAACTCACACTAAAACCCTAATATCTCTCTCTCTCTCGATCAGATTACAAATAAGACAAACACTAAACCCTAGTTTAGAACACCGTCTTCAAGAGTTCTCGGTCGTAAGGATCAGAGTTTCCCCGGAAAAGAGAAACATGGTTTCCTATGCTCGGGAGATCACAGTGTGGATCATGCCCGAGTCGAATTTCTGACCGTCCTTGCTCCTCATCTCTATGATCTTCCGGTGAGAGTTCGAGTGCACAGATGGAACAAATGTCGGACTTGCGGCCGGGCGGTACTCTGGGACAAGACGGCCAGATCTGAAACGTACCCCACAGGCGTTGCATAGGGTTTTCGGTCCGTTAGGGCCTTCCCTCCACTGTGGGGTCTTGGTTGTCTCGCAATGAGTGCATTTCCTGACTGTTCCTTCCGAGTTCTTTGGTTCTGAATTGGCAGAATCCAGATGGGTCGGGTGGATCTTGTTCTTCTTGCTCTTCTTCTTCCCAGGTTTCTCTGAAGGATAGTAGACTGCTTCATATTCTGATTCTTCTGGAGGTAACTGCTGAGATTTTGTGGGTTCAAACGGCGGGAGGAGAAGCCCGAGTTTAAGAGCTGTCGGGCGTTTTCGCTTGCTTCTCACGCCCTTCACTGGAAAGGCCAGTCTCGTATTTTGGGACGAGAAAGAAACGTTGGTGTTCTCGAGGACTGAAACTGGGCTTGAAGACCGAAACACTTTCGAGACTTTGACGCCAGAAGGTGAGAATTGGTGGACAGAGGAGGCTTCAGAAGAACTAGACTGTTTCTGCATTCATGATAAGCTTAACTACATTACCAAACTGTTGTCCCATGCAAATGTATGTTGTATTGCGTGAACTATCTATGAGTTAATACGCAGCATGCTTACAAACATGTGGACCGACGTAAAATGTAAGGAAGAACAACCTGTCCTGTGACGTAACATGCATGATGCAAAATGCCTAGTGTGATGCACCAGTCTTGCTCTTTTCTAACCTAATATGGTAAAAAGTAAAGAAAGCTAATCCGCCAAGCTAGCCACAAAGGCACAAACCAAAATTACGGTCCCAATACAAATGCATGTTTTATCATGTGAAACAACGTACGACGTAACATGCATAATGCCTACACACGTGACGTGAGCGGATCAAGGTAAAAAGTAATGAACGATCTATTATGTAACCTGCATAATGCCTAGTAGTGTAGTTGCACCACACTCTTCACGGTAAATAGCAACGACCCAACGCAACTCCGTTATGTATTGTGTGTAAACAATCTATGATTCAACATGCACAGGTGACATCACATGAAGAACTCACCAAGATCGGTATGGACCCACCGCCCTTGTTAATGCCACCACAGTTGAAGTCAGAGAACATATCCATCGGTGGAGGCTCGAGGCCTTGAAACCCGGCATCCCAATCCCCCTCACCGTTGCCACTTCCCACATCCTCTAAGGGGAAATCGAGATGATTGACGAGATCATCAAAGAAATCATCCGAGACGCCTTGGAAGTCCACCTCGGGTAACCAAGAACCATTATTCATGACACCCAACTGTAGGAAATCATACCGAGGAACAAACCCGGCCATATAAGAGTAAGAAAAGGTAGTATTGCAACAACAGCTAAATATCTGCAAGATTATGAAGATACCCCAAGGTTCCAAGAGACTGAAAATAGTAAAATCCATAACCGGAAATATTTGATCAATTTGGCATTAACCTGTAAATCTCATCAATCAAAATGCCTAACTAACATGAAGGATTATAGATCATCTTCATGAACAACGTGTAACAATCCATAAGTTTTCAGCTTCAGTTCTTCACGTAGTAAATTTTTTCAACCTACCACTCCCTGATTGAGGCATATTAAATACAACAATTCCATAACATAAATGGCAAAAAAATAAATTCGTCAAGTCTAAAAGCAACCAAACATATCTTTCCTCTTACAAATATTGCCGATTCATGAAGGCGGAATGATGAAATTTTCCCGTTGTATGTTTATTTCAGTTTTAATTTAAATTAAATTATGTTGGGCTCACTGAGAAAATCACGAACCACCTCACCTGGATTTTTGACACCAAAGAGATGAGAAATGAAGAATGTTCTTCCTACATTTTCCCACTGTCCAAACAGGAAGATATACACACAATAGAAAGGAAATGCAAAACAAAAAAACCCAGAAAAATCTCCCGGAAACTCCACCCGAAGAGGAAGAAACGCACGAGAGAGCGAGAGAGACGCACGAACCTTCCGGTACAGCTGACTACAGCCAACGCATTCCCCGGCGAGAGATAAGAGAGATACCTAGCTAGAGAGAGAGAGAGAGAAAATTCGTACGAATCTACTTGTCCGAAATTGGGGAATTAGGGATTGCAGGTCTGAAATCGGGGGGGAAAGAGAGAGATGGGGGCAGTGAGAAAGTTACCGTGTGGTAACGTACACGGAGATTTCCGTGGGTGCACCTTTTGGGATGATGAAAAATGAAGAAAGAGGTTCAAATCTTCATGGTGGTTTTGATCTCTAGATTCCTTCACTTTAAAGAAAATCTGTAATCTAAACTCACGAAATAAATAAAATATATAACCGAAATTAAATTGAACTGAATTATTATTTAAAACGTTAGATTAAAAAGGAATATAAAATCACAGCATATATTAGTTTTCAACGTCAAATTATTTTATATTTTATCCATTATTACAGTTAGATATTCCATTTGATTTTGACCCCATACTATTTTTTTTCTCGTTGAGTTAAAAATAATATACGATAACTATCTTACATTGAGAGATAAAAATCTGATCTCATGGTTATAGGATATTTAAATAAACAGCATGATTGTGTCGAGTAGTTAGAAGGAAAACAAAATATCAATCATGCACATGAACGGTCCACATGGTTTTGTAGATCGGATCTGATACAATTATTATTATTATTATTATTGTAAATATTCGTTGTTAATATTTGTTATAAAAGGTTTTTGGAAAAATAAAAGTTTTGGTTTTTATTTTCCAAAGCGAATGAAATGAAAATGGAGAGATCACCGACGACCGATTACGAGACGATAACCGAAATATAAGTATTTGTATTATGGCGTTCATCAAGGGAAGTGGGTCCCTTTGCCAACCTTTTTTGGTCCTCCCTTCCACGTGATGTGTTCTTCCTTTTTTTCCAACTAAATAAAAAATAGTAAAACAATTAAAATTCTCGATTTTTGGTTTATTTATATTAAGTAAAGATAGTTAATTCATTTCAATTATATTCGAATTTATTTTAAAATCCATATCTATTTAATTTTAAAATTTATTAATAGTTAATTCATTTCAATTATATTTGAACTTATTTTAAAACTTATAATTATTTAGTTTTATGAGAAGTTTTAGTTCGATTAGAATTTTATTTTATTTTATTTTAATTAATATTTTTATTTTTAAATAATTTTGTTTTTAAAAATTATGGTTTTTAAAATTGTTCTATTATTTTAATATTGGCTTTAAATTTGATTTAAATTCTATTAATTTTATTCAATTAAAGTTAAAACTATCAATAATTCAATTTGAATATAATTATTTATGAATCCTAATAAAAAAAATTATAGGGCGTTTGTGGAGGGGTGAATATTATTTTGAGTATTTTGTAGAGTTATTCACAATATTTTTTCTAATGATAGAAGATTCACAATATATATATATTAAAATTGAGTGTATTGGTGGAAAAGCAATTCAATTCAAAAGTTCAGCGTTAACAACAATTACGCAAAAGATGAATTCATTGTTACGTTAAAAAAATCAAACGAGAAATTAGTTCACTATTCTATTCACAATAATGATAAATATTATTACTATAATTGCATATGATATTATAAACCAATGACGTCATTATCTTTCAGTATTCACAAACGGGGCTTGGTTTTATGAAAGGCTTGCATTTGGGCTTCGAAAGGTGTTTGTAACGGCCCACGGGCCTTTACTTTTCCAATTCTCTTTGTATTTCCCATTTTTTTTAATTCAAATTATTTTTTGATCGCTTATTTTATATTACATTAATGAGTAGAATAAATTTTAAACCCAAGCGAAGAAGAGATGGAGAAAGTATTGTATGAAAAAAATATAGAATGAAGGACAAGAAGGTCAAATTGTAAATTCAACAAAAAAAAAACGGGTACATTTCATGTTTCAATTACAGAAAGAGAGAGAGAGAGGGAGACTAATGGATCATCGTTCATACAAGAGAATGCTTATCTGTCTTCTTGGCTTCGTGGTTTTCTTTTTCTTGACCTAAAAGTGGAGTTGTGTCCTTATCTTTCACCTGAAAATAGACAACCCACCATTATTTTCCACCATTTCTCCCTTTTTTTTCATAAACTTAAAATGAAAACGACTGAAAACAATAATATTAGTGAGATATTATGCATATATATATATATATATATATATATATATGTGAAAAAGAAAGGAGAGAAAAGAAAGTACCTTATCATCGGAGGAGGCTTGTTTGGATTTGAGCTCGAGGGAGCAGAAGTAGGAGTAGAGGATCATGCCGAAGACAGCGACGAGAATGCCGAAGACGTTGCGAGGAGTGAAAGGGTCGTGGAGAAGCGTGTATCCGAACGCAAGCACCAAACACGTCTTCAGATGTCCCAGCACTTGATATGTCACCGGCGATGTCTTCCCTATCACCAGGAACGTGCTAAAATTCACCGCCACTGCTATCATGCACGACAGTATTATAAACCCCTGCGAAATCCCCAGTCGCCCATTAATTAATAGAGAGAAACATATACGTACGTATGCATGCATGCATGTAATTATATGTATAAGTACCAGGACAACGGGGGAGTAGTGGAAAGAGAAGACGTTGAGGCGAGTGAGGAATTTGTCGACCACGGGACCCGACACGAACAATACGGCTGCTTGGAATGGCGCTGATTGGTACAACAGTTGCGTCGACGATACGTTCAATCTCTTCTGAATCGTGTTCGTCAGCTTCACACGTCGACAACCAAAAACATCACACGTACGTTGACTAAACATCATACATATATATGTATACATACATACATACTAAAGCAACTGTTGAAAGAAGGACGATAACAAAAACTCGAAGCGTACGATTTGGCCGACGCAAGTAGTGACAATGGCGAGGAGAGAGAGAACTGATCCGACGAGGTTGAGCTGAAGATCTGTGATCGATGCTATTCCAACCCCAAGCAGCAGCAGAAACAATGATAATTTTATTTTCTTGCTGCATTTTTCGAAAATAAATAAATCAACATTTTATATTCCAAAACAAGAGAATATTATAGTTTGAGGAGAAAGGATGGGGGGGGGTACCTGAACTGCTTGTTGAGGAAGAGGGTTTCCAACAGAACAGTGAAGGGTATGATGGCAAGTTTGGTCATCTGCCGTCATTTATCACTTGTATGATTATTTAGAGGATTTGATTATTTATATAGAATTTAGAAGAAAAATCTTAATTTACTTGGTAGAAGCCGATGGAGTTGAAGCCAAGGCTGAGGTTGAGGAGACCGATGGAGACGCCGTTGAGGATGCCGAAGAGGACGACGGTTTTCATGTCGATAGGTTTGTTCTCAAAGAAGTTGAGCCGATGCGCCAAATGGAGCGTGCAGTATGTTACCATCAAATGCCAACTCGTGAGTGTTGTCGCTGCATATTTCCCAATATACACTTGTGTAACCAATGTGTACCATGTCATATATGATCATGATTTGAATGGATTTTTCAATCAATAAGTAGATGTTGTTTTAAATACTGTGAACAAAATAGGATGATTAACGAAGATCAATTACAATGGGGATGGACCAACTCTCGTGGTTTAACCTAACTCAATAATAAATGAAGGAAGAAAAATTTATCTGTGGAGACCAAAACCACATGGGATGAATATTGCATCGGGACCCAATTAATTAAAGATGGTTTTGTCTAGATGCATGTGCGTTTACATGCCAAACCACATACAAATTAAATTGTTGTAATGAAATTGAATTAGAGTTATTTTTATAGTTAGGGTTGTCAAAATGGGTAATCCAACCCATTTGGATGCAACCCATTTGGGTTATATGAATTAATGGGTTGGATTAACCCAATCCATTACTAACATAAAAAAAACCAAATGGTTTGGTTCAAAACCATTACCCCATTTGGGTTACTATAGAATCACAATCTCTGTTGAATCAACTATATAAATAATACGAATAATACAAACATAATGCATTCAAACATATCGTTCATTAAATAATGCAAACAAAAAATATTGCATAAGCAATTAAGTGAGACTGCAAATAATACAAATCGTATTATAACGAAATATTATTTCAGATTGCAAATAATGCATATAATACAAATAATACAGACATATCTATATAAGAAATAAATAATATTATCTTATTTAAACTAATAAAATACTAAGAATATTTAAATCAATAAAAATTTAAACATAACTAGCTAATAAAATACTAAGAATAGTCAGAATCAATTGAAATCAAAGACAAATCAAAATGCATCACTCCAATAATAGATTTAAACCAAGCACTAATTCATAAATCAAATATCAAATCTATCTGCACAAATCAAATACACAATCCATTTATTCTCAATCTATTATTTCAGAAATTGCAATATCATATATCCAAATCGAAGAAACCCAGAAACCTTAAACACATAAAACAGCTAAAAAAAAGCAAAAAAAAAACATAAAGTTCCCGAAGCAAAGGCAAAATATGCACCGAATGCAGAGGACGACAAAGACTCAAACAGAAGAAGACTATGAAGACCAAGTAGAGAAGGAGATAAAGACCAAGACAGAGGTCGACGACGAAGACCGGCGATGAAACGATGAAGAGTCGAAGTACTGATGATGAACAAATTGAAATTGAGAGAGAGAGAGCGCAATTTAGGGTTTACGTGGACAAGAGAGCAATTGAAAATAAAAATGAGATTTCAAGTTTAATTATTTGGGTTTATTTTTATTTGGGTAAACCCATTTAATATATAACCCAAATGGATTCAAACCATTTAACCCATTTAAATAAATTAACCCAATTGGTTAACCCATCTGTATATATTATTGGGTTGGGTTGGTTAAAAACCAATTAACCCAACCCAATTGACATCCCTATTTATAGTTATCATTAACCAAAAAAAAAGAGGGTATATATAGAGAAACTTGCCAAAAGGGAAGCCAAGATTGCTCATCAAAGCTTTGTTGCAGATGACAATGGAGACCGATGATGCAACTGAGAGAAACAGTGCCCCGATGACACCCAATTGGAAGCTCTTCATCTCTCCCATCCTCTCTCTCTCTCTCTTCTGTCCCAAAATCTACAAATTAAGGCTTCAAACCCAAAAGTGAACAAATTAGACAGAGAAGATCAATGTGACTTTGAAAGTGTGTATTGATGAGAGAGAGAGAGAGAGAGATTGTGAGTGTGCGAGATCAAAGCAAAGGGGATGTGGGCTTTTATTCTTTGATGGCAAACCTTTGGTTGGTGCCTACCACCAAACTCCAAGGTTTTGAAACGTCATTTTTTTCTCCCTTTGATACATACATACATACATACATACATACATACATACATACATACATGCATACATACATACATGCATACATACATTTGTAGGAGCTTTTCTAACTCCCTATCGTTGTAACAAAGTACGATTATTTAGCTCAAAATAGAAAATCTTTTTAATAACACTGAAAAATGCGATTGTATTTGAAATTTTTTAAAGTTCTTCGAATACAGTGAAGAAGAATAATTAGGACCTTGGTGCATATGTTATATATGGTTTTATTACTTACATCTAATTCACGTGGAAACATCAATTATATTATAAAAGATAATTAATTACCCGATTTAATAATCTAGCCATTAAAAAATTCGATGTAATTATATTAATAATTGCATAACCAAAGGTAGATAACTTTGTTAATTTAAAAGGTAAGGCTTAATGCAAAAGCAAAGATGGAAGGTGAAACAGACATTTGCAGACCAATTTTTATAGTTTTGTCGTCCACAAGGCTCAGAATTTTAGGGTTTGGTGGAAGAAAAACTTTACACATACTCCAAAGTCCAAACCCAATAGTAGTGTACCCATCTCGACTCCCATATTTTCTACGTTAAATATTTTTTATTGTTGTTGAAAAATATTAATATAAATATTACAGATATAAAATATGAATAAACCACAAAACAACATTTTTCTACTAAAAAAGCTAAAAGCAGGAGATATATATTATGAAATTAGGCAGATTGAAAGGTTAGTCATTACTCATTTAGCGGTTTCTCCAAAGCCTTCGAAATCAAGAAAACCAAGGAGAATTATGAAAACGACCGAAGAAAGAGGAAATCAAGAACGCATGTAATGCGTGGCTGTTGGGTTTAGGGTCGTCAATAGTAAACGGAAGGATCTCTCTCTCTCTCTCTCTTTAACCCCACAAATAGACAGCCCATCTTAACCTTCGACATCAAACAATCGGATTAGATGAGAAATTCGATGATATTTAGATGAGAAATTCTCATACCAAAGTGAAGTTGTAAATACATCCAAGTAAATATATATATTTTTCCCAATCAATACAATATTTTTTACAATTTTTATATCATAAAGTGTAACAACAGATGATACAAATTGGCGAAAATGTTAAGAAAGATCCTCGTTTCATAACCTAATTCTAAGGATAATGATCTCAAGTAAAACACTTGTATAAAAAACTTATATTTATTGCCAATCCAATAGCTCACATACTCCAATCATATAATTTTTCTAAAATTGAAAAATAGAATCCGAACCGAATATTAAAATAATTTAAAAACAAATTATTCGAAAAATGAATATTTTTTCCATAAAAAGCGAATTTGAACTGAATCTATATATTTTTTCTAAAATTGAAGCAAAAAATATCAAACCAAACCCGAACCGAAAACCAAAATGCCCACCATAGACCAAAAACCACCTCTAGAACTCGATTTATTTTGCTTTGTAAAGATGATCAACGAAACCCACAATCAAGATTCGTTCGAAAAGGGTAACAAACAAACAGACAGAACAGAACGGAACAAAAGTTTGTAAGATAAGAAACGTTACCTACGAGCACCATTTATTTTGATGCAGGAAGATAAACTGCACCAAGAAACATACATCTATCCTTAGAAACCTCACTACACTTTGCTAAAACCAGCAACTCGGAATCATCACAGAGAACATACAAAACCAAGTGCAAGTGAGTGTGCGTGTGTGTGGGGAGGAAGTTTTTCATTCATGTACAGAGGACGAAAAAAAAAACACTTATCCTTTTCCCATAGGAGCGAGGTACTCTTTATCGGCTTCCGCCAGTCGGTTCTGGAACATTCCCCATTCGTTTCTGCATCGCTCTCTCACCTGAAACAACGAAAGCGGCACATGGGAGATTAGTATTACAATCCCGACACTGGACAGAGTTTCGCAGTCTTTGCTTTGCTTACCCCTTGCCATGGGGCTTTCCCCTTCTCTGCTTGACCCTGAGACACGTTTGTTCATTTAACCCGAGAGACAAGTTAGAACGCAATATCATAAAAGCGATACATTATTTATGCTTGCTTCAGATTTACATGATGTCCTCTGAAAGAGGGCAAATAACACTTTATCATCTAACAGCTATTTCTAGGGAATTTTCATGGTCACTTGGTTTTGTACTGCCATAGAGATTTTGGGATGGATGAAAATGAGGCAAATAAAACCCGATTCTATCCATACTTGTCCACTGATTTAAACCGAGTATAAAAAGTACCATTGCTTGTTATTTGACAATATATGTCATCATCTAAAAAGCCAAAGATTTATCACCTGATTTCCAAGGGAAGGAATCACTTGATGTATAATCCATTGGGAATCCACCACTCCGATCTTTTCATGCGCAGGCTGCCAATGGAGAAAACGGATGTTGATTTTTCTTAAAGAACATTCGAGACATAAACGTCTCCAAAGGATGATCAATGGACATAGTACTTTTAAGAATCCCGGGAAACAAAGGACAAGAACTACTAACCTCGACGCAACGCCTGAGAGCAAAGTCAAGGCCCCAGCCATGAACCAGATCATTCTGCACCGGAGACAATCAAGAAGATATATCACATGAAACATGCATAGAGTTTCTCTTATTTTAAAACCCAGTTGTTTGAAAGGCTAGACTCATTTTGATAATCAGAAATCAAGTTAAATCTCCGCTAAGGGATTCACTTTCCTCAAAAGATTGCACCTCCTGATCTATTGATTGCATATATAATGTCAGCGCGGCTGATCAAATATCTGAGATAAACAAAAACCTGAATCATATGCCACACACACCGCCATGCTTCTCGAGAAAAGACAGGTGCCATAATTTCAACAAAGCTGCAAGACAAAAATAAAAGCTATGAATTGAGAATGACTAAAAACTCTTCAGTTGGCTACACAAAAGAGGGAGAGTGATGGAGAGAGAGAGAGAGAGAGAGTCTTACGCAGCACATGGAGGTAAATGTGGGTCACTGCACCATCCTGGTTTTTCTTGTGTTTCTCTGTTCATTAATTGAGAAACTTAGGCACATTCTTAGAAACAGGAAAAAGAAACAGAGTATGTAAAAGAGGGCGAGAGAGAGAGAGATCCTACTTGTGGACCTCACGGTCACCCCTCCTCTTTGTCATTTCCCAAGTGAGTCCATTGTTAGGCTCCAGACCCGGTTGGGAAATCTCCAAACCATGCTTCTTAACTAACTCAATGTACCTGAAAGTTTGAGTAGAATGCAATTAAAAAAACGAAAACAGATATTGATCTGCCACTAAAACTCTCCGAGAAAAACTCATAACAATGGACTTACTTCTCTGCATTGAAGTGCTCGACTCCAAGATCTTCATCCCATATAAATATGAACTCATAAGCCGAGACAATATCAGGATGCAAAAATCTCTTTGCATACCACCTGCAAAAATTATACAGATACAGCTGAGAATTTGTCTCAACATACTTGACATGAGTTTCTTGATTGTTTGACGAACAAATCAAGAAAGTTTGCTGACTTTCACACCTTCAACCATAAGATTTCTTACCATTTTGTTTGCCTTCTTACACTAATATGAATTGCATTCTTTGACCAGTCAAAATGGTCCCATTCAGTCGTCCGACCATCATAATGGAACAACAAAATTTGGAAATCGTCCGAAAACTGAAGAAATGAAAGAATAACAAACTCAGTGTATCCAACAGGGAAATATAAAGATAATGAATACATGACAATGAACATTGACTGTAACTGTCGAACCTTCTTAACAGCTGCATCAATATTGTTCCTCTGCTCAAATCCAACTGTAAATGTTACAAGATATTTTGGCTTCTTCTTCAGATCCTGCAAGGTTCATGTTTTAGGTGTTATCACTTCCAGTCACCAGACGGTTGGACTCCACAAACTGTAAATACTGCAGAGCTCTATTTTAAAAAGACTGTGAATCATACTTCACTCGGTTCACCCCATAATCTGCGCAAGTAGAAATCTGTTTCTGCCTCAACAATTCCAGGAGGGAGTAATTCAGCACCACGCGGATTACTTGGAACATATATCTGGAAGCATGTGAATAAAAATGATGCATCAGAATGAAGCACTGTTCTCATACAGAAAATTGAAAGAGGTTATGATGAAGGTTTACTCTTATAACAAAAACTAGAATAAAAAAGGGATGCTGCCACATGGGTCTGAATTATTTAACTTCAACTGCCTCATGAATCTGACTTGTTATTCATTTTGACCTGGAATATTGAAATAGCCATGTAGACAACTTATCCTTAGAAATATACCTTAGGGAATTCTCTAGAACCAAAATCTTCAGGCGATTTGCCACCAGAAAATAACCTCCCATTTGACATTGCTACATCAAGAGATGATATAAGGCCTGAGGGTAAATTAATCTGCAGGAAGTACGAACTAAATCAACAGGTGCAAGGGAACACAAATCGCAGATATACATATTACATATGAAACTCGTCTCATACCTTTATAAAAGAAACGGACGGGAATGTGATACCAATGAAAAACCCAACCACCATTCCTAAAATTGTTGTGATAATAAGCTTTGCACTTTCATTTGTTCTTCTGGGAGCACCACTGCAAACCGAGGATTAAGTAAACTTCGAATTCTGAGGCAACTCAAAGCTTGTGAATCAAATCAGAAGGGACATCTACCTCCGGTGCATGATTCCCATTGGTTTGTAAAATCTCGAAAATCAACTTCGAAAGTTCAGCCACCAAATATAAACTTAATCCCTATATCAGCTTTGACGCACGCAAGAAATTCTTCAGGGTTTGAAGAACACTTCGTCTTTGGACACCAAACCACCCTGAAAATTACTGAGGAGAGATTAGGTATTGGAACTGGCTTTCGCTTTAACTAAATGATCAGATAAACCCATAATTGTTCGATTAAGTTCGAAAATCATTCAGCAATTACTAGGTATAAAACAAATGCACAGGAAGTAATTCGCTAACAAAAGAAAGACACACAAATCATACCTCCAATATCTCCGCCAAACTAAAAGCAAACTATAACGCACAATTTCCACAATATTTCACAGGAAAACGTAAGAACCCGAAGCGAAAACTAGAAATAAGAAAGGAAACATGTAACAGCGATAATCGATTCGTGAGATCCTGATACCAACCCAAACTTACTAAATTAAAGCTTGACAGATCAGAATCAGAACATACACAATCATGCTAGGTAAAATCCACCACCAGGTAAATGAATCACGGATTGATATAGAGGAAAAGGGCACCGGAAATGGAGAAACGACGAAGAGAATGCGGTTACTTACCGGGATCGATCACGGGAAATTTATCACAATCAATACGATGGAGAAATCATACAATAGATTAGGGTTCCGAGCCGTCTTGTCCGATCTCGCAGGGCAACAGAGATAAATGCAGAGAGAGAAATGACTGGAGAGAGAGAGAGAGAGAGCGAGACGAGCCGGTTATTTTTTTTCCCTCAGGTGAATGAAATTTTTTTTTGAAAAAAAAAAAACATATTTAAATGAAGTTAAGTAGCTTGATTTATAAAATCTAATGAACCCCCCACTATTAAGAGAAGAAGAGCAAAATATTTAGGTGGTATATATATATATAGCTTCGACTTCGGATATGGCTTTGACCGTGCGTGTGGATGAAGGTAACACCACTATTGGACGAGGGTCCAGTGCCCATGTGAGCAGTTCTTCTCCACAGAAGTCACCAGGTCCTATCCGGCAAGAGTTGAAGAAACCGGTCCTACCTCCGTTTGTGGTGTATGAATCTAAATGGCCTCGGATTATGAACAGCATTTCGTTTACTGGGTCTCCTTCTCGCATCAGCAACGTGCCCTCGGTGCATAACGCAGGTTTCAGCCTCTCGCAGATTGCATCCAGCATTCTTTCGTCCATTTGATCAAACAAGGGGACCTGTTAGACGAAGAAAAACTGTTCTCAGAACGGACGAGATTCAATATTCGGGTTTTGAGCAGTGAAAAGAACCGAGCGATGGGGAGGGGAAAAAAAAGATTTATCCTTTCTGAGGGTTGGAGGCACTGGTTTTTACTTACTCGGCGGACAAGTATATATATATATATATAGAATAAAGAAGAACGACAACATAATAGTGGCAACTGGGACTCTAAATTAAAAATGGAGAGAATTTCAATCTTTCATTTACAAATATATTATTATTTTTTTCTGTATATAAATTATCTCATAAGTTGTCAAATCTCTCTCAGAATAAAAAGCGATGGAGGAAAAAAATTAAACTGAATTTTTGAATCTCTTTGTTTAACTTTACAGAGAAAATTTATTTGAAAAAAAATATATAAACGAAATCTAAACTGAAGATGATTTAAATTTTTTTAAAAAAAATCTAAACTTTTAGGATGAATCATGAATAATATAGTTATGTATATATATGATTAGAATTCATAAAAACAAAATGGTGGTTCGGAATCTGGTCTGACGAATGTTATATATCTAATTAAAAAGATTTTAAAAAATTAAGTGACAGGAGTCTTCCTCGTTTGAATGTTTTGCTGTCATCATGTGCCCTTCGTTTGCATTGCAGTAAAGTAGTCTTTTACTTTGTTATCCTCTTCCTTCTTCTTTTTTTCAAGGAAATTGTTTAAATAAAATTGGATTTTTTTACCTTAAAAAAAGTTATATCTTTATTTTTGTAAACCTATTTTTCTATTTCTAGATTTTTATTATATTTTTTTAAGTAATTAATTTTCTTTTTTAAATATTACATCAAATTGATTTTTAAAATTAGATTTAATTGGACTACAATAATAATTTTTTATTTGATTTTATGAAAAAATAACGTATAAATAACTAAACTTTTATGAAAATCTCACATAAATATCTAAACTATAAAATTTTTATATAAATACCTGAATTTTTAAAAGTTATATAAATACTTAGACTTTTGAAAAATTTTCCAAATAAATACAAAATTTCATATATTTTTTAAATAAAAATAGATAATGTCATTAACGGATTTTGGGTTTATTTGGAAGTTTTTAAAAAGTCTAGTTATTTATGTAAAATTTTAGGAAAATTTAAATATTTATATAGAAATTTTATAGTTCAGGTATTTATATAGAATTTTTGTAAAAATTTAGGTATTTATATGCGATTTTTCCTATTGTACAATGTAAAAACTAGTAATAATATGATAATATAATGTTTCTAATATGAACCGTCGACCAATGATCTGATCAGTAGATTTTCTCTGCCCAGGTATAGATTTCAATTGAAATCCAATATTTTCGGACTACGGCTGTCGTTTCGATTTTAGTTCAAATATATAAAATCAAGGGAAACATTATATTCGGCAGGCATCCTGTCTTAGGTTTGAGCCCATACAAAATCTCATGTCTGAAATGGCCATTGTTTGTGCCACTGGGCAGCCCAATAGCTAGCATCACATGATTCCATATATATATATATATATATTGGTTTCTTGAAAGGAAAAAAAAAAAGAGAGAGGGGGTTTGAAAGGAACTGACATGGCTTGCAAGCATGTAGAGCATGAGGTTGTAAGCAGCTCCTGCCCAAGCTGTCTCTGTTACAACACCAGTGGCTTTGATAATCTGACGAGAGAGAGGGAATATAAGGAACATCCTCGGAATGTACTGGAAAATGATGATGAATCTGAGTACGTTCTTTATATATATATATATTGTCTAATTAACATTTTTATATTATTATTATCAAATTATTTGTTTGTTTTTCCAAATTATTAAACAAGAGAAAACTTTAGAATAGGTTCGAACAATTTAAACGTGGAATTCAAATTGTTTGGGGGAAAAGTTACGTATTGGTACCCCAAATGTATTCATAACGAGTACATTTTATTTGTCGCACGCTACTGATGAATATACTTATTAATGCAATTGTATTTAATTTTTGGGAATTACTTTGCATTTTCGTGTCTATATATAAATTTATCCTCATAATTGGGTTTTGAAAAAGAATCATTTGGGTCGGCCCAAAGCCCTTTCTCATTGTTGGGCCCAAGGCTGCTTCTAAACCGCGGGGGGGTTTATCTCAAGGGCTTTTTCGTAAAACCGATAAACCCTAACTTCACAAGCAAGTTACTCAAACTGACAAATCAAGAACCAAAATATACAGAAGCAGAGGCCCCATTACGCTACACACCTTTTCAGAGTAGATAAACCAATTAAGCCCACTATCAATATTCACTGACTGAAAAATCCGGATCTACCGGTTTCTGTATCGAAGAAGCCATACTAGAATCTGATTCACTGCGTGTGAATTTCCGGCCATTGGCCACAAACCTTGCAATATAGGCATTTGAGGGTTTGAAGCTGTTTTCTCCATGGAACTCTTCTTTAGGCCTTAGCCCAGAAGCGAATTTCCTCTTCTTGTACCGCCGGAAAGCTGCCTGTATGAAACAAGCAGCCCATGTCCTCCATTGATGAGAATAAAACCGGAACTTGTGCCTTAGTTGCTTGCTGTGGAGTCTCCTGAACTGTGAGGCCACAAATTTCAGATCTTCTGCTCTGAGGGCGAAGGCTTCGACTTCGGATATGGCTTTGACCGTGCGTGTGGATGAAGGTAACACCACTATTGGACGAGGGTCCAGTGCCCATGTGAGCAGTTCTTCTCCACAGAAGTCACCAGGTCCTATCCGGCAAGAGTTGAAGAAACCGGTCCTACCTCCGTTTGTGGTGTATGAATCTAAATGGCCTCGGATTATGAACAGCATTTCGTTTACTGGGTCTCCTTCTCGCATCAGCAACGTGCCCTCGGTGCATAACGCAGGTTTCAGCCTCTCGCAGATTGCATCCAGCATTCTTTCGTCCATTTGATCAAACAAGGGGACCTGTTAGACGAAGAAAAACTGTTCTCAGAACGGACGAGATTCAATATTCGGGTTTTGAGCAGTGAAAAGAACCGAGCGATGGGGAGGGGAAAAAAAAGATTTATCCTTTCTGAGGGTTGGAGGCACTGGTTTTTACTTACTCGGCGGACAAGATCAAAGCAGAGATGGCGTTTGATGTCTCTTCTAAGGTCAAGAGGAAGGCCTTTCAATAATGCTTCTTCATCGACTCCTCGGGTAGCAACCCATTTGTATTGATCATATTTTCTTATGGCTTGCCTCAGCTCCTGAGGAAGCTGCCTATGCCGCATCCATTGTTCTGTATCAGTCCTCTTTATCCTCCACTCTTCAAGTCTCACAGTCGTGGACTGTAAGTACGTCTGAAAACGAAACTTCTTTTCTCAGAGTGTGTCCCTTAGTAGATACGATGAGTTTTTTTTGCGAATATTTGACACTTACCTGCATATTTCCGATAAGCAATGCAAAGAGGACAAGACCAAGAGTGGCAATGATGATAGCGAAGAGGATTTCTCCAGCGTAAGTGCTCGTGGAGAGATTTTGCCCTAAAGAACTGAAGAACAGGAAAGAAAATCCGATTAAAAGCAGTATAAACATTAAAATCTGAGAACAATGTCTGTGATTTTGAAGCTGAGTTTTATCACCTGAGATTCTTCAATCCCCACCAAAGACAGTAGAAGTACTTGTTGAAGAAATGTGCAGAAGTAACACTTGAAGTGATAGCATCACCATATATACCAAACTCATAAAAGCCACTGCTTGGGTCACATAACTTGGTTATGTTGCTCCATTTGAACCAGGAACCTCTTTGAGGGTATTCCAGTCTTCTGCAGTCGAAGAATCTGTACTGACAAATCGGTTTCTCGATGTTGCAAGCGTGTCTCCAACAAGCCTCTTGCCTCTCGATTGAAAGCAAATACCAACAAGCGCCTAAAACCTTCAAGAGAATGGATTGAAGAATTCAGCCATATTTGCTTTCTTGAAAGGAAAAAAAAAAAGAGAGAGGGGGTTTGAAAGGAACTGACATGGCTTGCAAGCATGTAGAGCATGAGGTTGTAAGCAGCTCCTGCCCAAGCTGTCTCTGTTACAACACCAGTGGCTTTGATAATCTGACGAGAGAGAGGGAATATAAGGAACATCCTCGGAATGTACTGGAAAATGATGATGAATCTGAGTACGTTCTTCGTGTTTGTCATCGTGGAGCCTCTTAGATTAGGTATAACTATCCAAATCAGCACCTGAATACACGTTGATGACAGTAAATACTATGATTTCGATTACCAAAACCCGAAACCACTTGTCAACTTCTATGAGAAAATTTATGATTTTGATACTCATCAGAATATTTTCACAAAAGATCCTATTAAACCTTTCAGGGCACTTGAGTTGGATACTCATCAGAGCAGTTATTATTACAGAGAACTAACCTGAGGTAGAGGCAGGGCCGCGATAAGATGAATCCAGAAACTCTTTTGGAGATATCTGAAAGCAATCTTGGTGGAATCAATGACGAGTTCTCCTCTTCCGAAAACACGAGAAGGAGGTGCAACATAGGCTGTTCTAAAACGAATCAGAATCTGAGCAATGTAAAAAGCATCGGCAAATGATCTAATCAAGGTGAGCATCACTTCAAGGTGGTTTCCAATGGTAATACAAGCTTCATTTCTCATGACCGGCAAGAAAAAAAACAGAGGGTCGACGAAAAGAGAAACCAAGCATGCTACTAGAAAGATCTTGTTCCACCTCCGTATGGTCGGTCCACGAGGGTCAAGGATTGTGCTCTTCACTCTCTCGAGATCCTCAGAGAACACTCTAGAGAGCACTTTAGCTTTCAATGACTTCTTCCCAGGACTCATATTGATGTTCTTTCTAGAGGAAGATGCTGAGATTTGAGTTCCGTCGATTTTGTATTTGAGCTTAACTGCAGATTCTCCATTAACAACAGGACCTTTTGCTAGTTCAAGATCTTCTTGGAATCTATAAACACACCAGATCCACATATATGTTTTCTCGTCAGAAACTTCTCAGGAAAGAATGAAGAAACGACTATATGGAACTAAAGATTAAGACCCATCAAGGATTTTCGATGTTCTAACCTTACAGATCTCGAGTTTCCATACCCCATGGGTTCCTCCTAACAAAATCTTCTGCCTTTAACCTGGTAATGGATATATTGAACCGTGAATTCAACTTTATAAAGGAGGAACCTTTCAAGCCACACAAGGATCAAGAGAGAGACAGAGAGCAACTACTTCCCCTTTAGCGGGAACTCATGTGAAGAGAGAAAACTGAAAGCACAAGTTGAACATTAAATTCCCATAAAACAGGGGAAGAAAACTTTATTCAATTTCATGCCCTGAAACACACGTGTATTCTGATACAATGCTACTTTTATCAAAGCCAAATTCAACAGCCATAACAGATTAACGAGAGAGGATTCTGATACGATTAACCCTGAAGCTCGTTCAAATGGGTTTATCTGAATCTGGTTCAGGAATATAATCGAACAGCTATCAGAGGGAAAACTGGGAAACTGTCCTTTTCCTTAAGATACAAGCCAAGAAAACTCTTAACATGTTCATACTACTTTCCCCGGCAATGTGGAAACAGAAAGAAAAGGCAGGTTGAAAACTTGCCACCGACATAATCAAACAGCTGTAATAACGAAATGGAAAAAAAACACCCATGAAAAGGAGATCAACTTTAGCACCAAATCTGAAGCGGGGAGACTAATCAAGGGTTTCGAGCAAAACTCGAACAAATTTCGGACATGCTACGAGACAGACAGACAGACAGACACAGAGAGAGAGATACTCACAGACAGATCAGATGTTCGAAATAAGCTGAGCAGATTTCTTGGGTTTGTCCTTTTTCGAACAAGTTTCGGAAACTTGCAGAGAGTAAAAGAGAAGATGAAGAATCCCAAAAAAACACTTTTAAGTCGGTGTTTCTGCTTTACTTTCCTGGGAAAGTGAGTGGAGATTCCCAGAACGGGAAAGTTTACTCGAAACAAGTGTTCGCTTTGGTTTCCATTGGTGCGGAAAATGAAGCTTTCTTTCCTTTTAACTATAAATTCGAATCGCATAGATACGCACATTACACGGCAATGCACTCACACATACGTATACGTATATGTACATATAATAATATAACGTATGCATGTGTGTATGCGTTCAAAATATTAAAGAAGAGGTTGCTGGATACTCTGCACATTAAATGGCCTAAACACATATTTCATTTTTTAATGCGAGTATAATTTATTTAACTATGGTTAGTTAACACTTAATAATAATTTAATTTAGTGAATTAGTGGGATTGTGATTTGTAAGATCCGAGGAGTTGACTCGTTTTGGAATCCGACCATGTGTTTGTACCAGTCGTTGCACGGACCGCACACGCCCCCCAATTCCGAAGTTTCTTAAGTTTTACATTTTATTTTCCCTCCTCGTTTAGAGTATATAATTATTGGATTAAAAAAAAAAAATTAGTGTATTTTGATCTGACACACACAAGTTTTATGATTAAGATAATAATTAATTACAAAACCTCTTAATTCAAGACTAATCTAGTGGGGGTGATAAAAAAAATATAACATTATTTGATTTTATTAACACATAGAGTAATATTATTATTTTTATTTTATATCAAATTTATTATCGGATAGCACGTAAGCAGCACTGTTATTTCGAATTCAATTCTTTGATTTGTTATTTTATATTACATATGAACTATATTTTTTTTTAATGTTTGTTTTGCTGGCTGTCCATGTACTAAACCTTTTCCCCGTATGATTAACTTAATCCAAAACTTCAAGTTTAGTTTAATCAGCTCATTACAGATCTCAAAGCATTTCCTCATTGGATTAGATTGCTTTAATTGCACTAATTATTTTTAAAACATTGATTTGTCGGCCTATCAAAAATACCAAATGGCCATGTCACACATGATACATTATGTGTGTATATATTTGTTTGTTTCGGGGTTTTTTTTTTTCACGAGAGAAAAAAAAAAGAATAAAAAGGAGACAAGCCTTGTGCTCACAATTAATTAGACGTTTGGTGTAAAATAAATGGGTCGGTCAGTCCATCTCTATATACAGTCTGTACTTAATATTAAAAAATAGGGCCCACTTAATATAAATGGGCCCATCCTTTGGGCTTTACTCGAAGGATCCAATCCCATGGCCTACGCGTCATCGTGGGTCCATCTCTTTCCGTCAAAACCAAACTAATGTTGTTAGTCGCTGTGACTTTATTAATAAATATTATCATATTAAAAAAATATTATTAAATACATTATGAACACAATTATTGAAGTTTGGTCCAAAATTTAAAATTTCGTCGGTAATGATATAATCAATGTCCGAATCCTTTGAGGACTGAACTTTGCGGCTCTTTGTCTCGGCGAATACGTCACCAGAGGCGGCTCTGTCTTAGTTAAGGTGTTGAAAAACTGAGGTATATGTTACATTTTGATTCTAATTTATTTAGCTTTCATTAAAAAAAATCTCTATTTAAATTTTATATCAAAATTTATTTGATTTGGATTTTTTTACACTCAATTTCTCTTTTATTCAATTTTTTCATTTATTTTAACATTTAGATTAAAATTATTTTATTTAAATTTAAAAATACATTTAGTCAAATTTTAAATCGATCGTAATTGATTGGTTGGGCTTATTCTCCAGCCTATTTATTTTTATTAAAATGAATTTGGGCTTCCTCCAGGCCCGGATATATGGAGAAAATATGGCGTGGAAATCAAATCAAGGCCAGATTTATCCAAATGAGAACCAAAGCATTTGAAACATGAGACACTATACGAACATGAATTAAATGTGTGTATAGGTGATTATATTATATGTATGTAATTGTGTGGTACAATGAGATACAAGATAACAAATATGACATGGTATGATGATAAGATGTCACGAGAATATGACTCGTATGATGATACGATGACATGACGTGATGTTTATCATGTGATTCTTCAAGTCATCATATATCATGTTATATCATACCATATCCATATCATCCTCACATATTACCATGTTATTCCGTTAGCTACCCACACACACATAAAAAAACATTATATATATATATATACACATCGATGTATGTTTACATATATATATATATATATATATATATATATATATATATATGTGTGTGTGTGTGTGTGTGTGTGATTGTATTTAAAAAGTAAAAAAGACATGAAATAAGGTTGGTTTGGATAACAAAAAAAAAACGAGAATATATATATATTTTTTTTGACAAATTGCTATAAAAAAACACACTTTGCACATGGAAGCTAGAGTACACTTGCAACTATATTACTAATATAAATGTTGGTCAATGCCAACAATTCTCTCTAGATTCACGGAGAGTACGAATAAACAACATAATCATATGGAATAAATATTTGTTCTCCGGGTGTTTCGTGTCCCATAAGAGGGAGCACACACACTAATAATCCAGCTTCGATTATTCTCTTATCGTTTTTGACACGTTCATTTTTTTTAATCTGTATTCTACGTTTTAAGGAAACCAGAAACACAGAGAGGATTAGCGGCTTTACCTCCGTTGCCGATCCAGCTTTTTTCATCTTCTGAATTTCGAATTCTCGAGTCAAGAATGTGCAAAACGAAAATGGCGACGAACGTTTCCGAACCGACACGAGCGCGGCCGAGGAGGTACTCGGCTCCACCGACTCCCCCGCCTCGAACTCGGTCTGAGTTCATGAGCACTACCGCGTTGAGCTCGCTTTTTACCGCGACCGGCGCGTCGACGTCATCCGGCACGTCGTCTTCCGTCGCAAGCCGGACCTCACTCGCGAGTCTCCGGGACTCGTTGCCTGATAATCCTCACATATACGACGTTGAAGAGATCCGAGTCGCCACCAACAGTTTCCTTGGTCGCCGCCTACCTTCGTCCTCTTCCACGGCGTCCTGGCGCTGTAATCTGCGTGGGAAAGAGGCGGTGGTTTTCCAGAGGAAGTTCAGACGGAGAATCGCCATGTTCGAGCTCAGGGATTGGCTCTCTGTCATCTGCCGGAGCCATCACCGGAGTATCATCAACCTCCTTGGCGCTTCTGTCTCCGACGGCGGCGGCGGAGGCGATCACGTCTATCTGGTCTACAAATACGTCCATGGAGCAACCCTCGCCGACTGCCTCAGAAACCCTAGGAACCCTAATTTCACTGTTCTCTCAAGCTGGATCTCGCGGATTCGAATCGCCGCCGATCTAGCCCACGGCCTCGACTACATCCACAACAAAACCGGATTGAAGATCCGAAACCTCGTCCACAATCACATCAATAGTTCCGCCGTCATTGTAACGGAGCCGGACTTAAACGCGAAGATCTGCCACTTCGGCACAGCCCAGCTACGCGGCGAAACGGACGAAGTGTCGTCGGATAGAGACGAACCGCAAAAACTCAAGCGATCAGATAGCAATGCGCTCAGATTCGAAGGAGTTAGGGGATATATGTCTCCGGAATTTCAGGCGACGGGGATCGCGACACAGAAATCCGACGTATACGCATTTGGAGTGACGATGCTCGAGCTCCTCTCCGGTGAGGAGCCGCTGAGATATAAATTCGACAAGTCGGCCGGAAATTTCGAACGCACATCGGTAATAGAGACGGCGGCGATGGCGGCGGCGATTGACAGCGGAGAAGGTGAGAGAGAGGGGAGGCTGAGGAGGTGGATGGATCAGAGGTTGAGGGATTCGTTCCCAGTGACGGTGGTGGAAGAGCTGATGAAATTGGCGTTGGAGTGCGTGGAGGATGAATCGGAGAAGCGACCGGAGATGGGAAGAGTCGCCGGGAAAATCTCAAAACTGTATTTGGAATCGGAGAAATGGTCGGAGAGAATGCAACCGCCGGTGGATTTCACCGTCTCAATGGCTCCCAGATGAGGGAATGTATATATATATATATATATATTCAACTTCACAAAACAAAATAAAAACACAGAAGTGTCCATCATATCGGATCCAACACACAAAATCCAATGAACATGGGTTATTTCCAACGATTTTTTTTCTAAACAGTTATGCATTTTGACCAAACACTAATGAGGGAAAACGAATTACAATTTTTTTATATTTATATTAATTTTTCATTACTTTTAGATTTGACCTTTGTATTTGATGAAAATTATATTAATTTGATTGTCATATAATTTTTTTATGGATTCGTATTTTTATTCGAATTTGAGTTCGATTGTATTTTTATTTGAATACTAGTTTTCTAAATTTGGCTGGACTATTTTAATATTTAGACTGCATTTCATTAATTTGATTTAAAAAAAATATATTCAATCCATTTGATCGACATTTGATTTACATATGATTGTATTAGATTATATTCGAATTTAGGTACAAAGAAAAAAAAATTTAATTCAATTTCACTGATACAAAGGTTTTTTTATTATCAAATTTCTTCAAAACCCTGCTAATTAAGGAGATTATCGCAGAAACATAGACCAATAGGTTGGGGCCTAAAATTTGCTAATATAAATGTGATTCCTATATTATACATTTGAAAAACTAAGGGGTGTAAATGCAGTTTTGTAATTTTTCTATATTTAGGACTGTGTTTGGGCCAAGAAACTATCAAAGCCCAAGAGAGAGTTGGTCAGCCTTTCTTTCTTTTTTTTTTAATCAACGGCTCTTTCTGATTTCTACCAAATGCAAGAATCTTCTCGAACTTTTTCTCCTACGCCCTTTATCTAAACCCTAAGCCCCCAAACATCGGCTCGTTCTTGCCTTCCTTATCCACAACCCGGAACAGCCGAGAACTATCCCTCGCTCCGTTTTATGGCGTCTGCAAACGCTCTCTCTTCTGCTTCCGTACTCTGCTCTCCTCGACAGGTGGGGTTCTTTACTCGACCTTGGTAGAAAAGAATGCCGCTAGTCAATCGTTTTCGGATTTGCTCGGGTTAACCTCAACTGGGTTTCTCTTTTTTTATGTCTGTACGAATTCAGATCTCCATTTACGCAATTTCCTCCGCTACTGGAGAAATGAGTGCCACTAGTCTCGCGGTTTTAACTTATCTATGTTCAGCTCAGCTGGGTTTCTCGCGCTTTTGGCATTTTTGGGAATTTAGAGGTTTCTCTGATTGCCACTGATAGTTGAGTGAGTTCATTGTGATGTCCGGCCGTTGTGGTGTAATATAATGTGAATTTGCTAACTGGGTTTCATCTTGTCGGTGCAGGGAAGGCTGAGAGGGGGAAACCAGCAGAAGGGGCAAAGCGTAAGCTACAGGAAATCAAGCCGACGTTTCACCGTGAGAGCGAACGCGAAGGAAATCGCCTTTGACCAGAGATCGAGAGCTGCTCTTCAGTCTGGAATCGACAAGCTCGCCGATGCTGTTGGTCTCACTCTCGGACCTAGAGGTACTAGTTTCTCAGTCTTGTTTGTCGCTTTGTTCAATCGAGTTCGGTGGTTCGGTCTTTAGTTCGTGTATCTTTTGGGAATTAGTTTGTAATTCATGAAAAATACACTTCCTTTCTTCTCTTACTATCGTTTTCATGTCCTATCTCAAGGGAGGAACGTTGTCTTGGATGAATTTGGAAGTCCCAAGGTGGTGAATGATGGAGTCACCATTGCTCGAGCCATTGAGTTGCCCGATGCTATGGAAAATGCCGGGGCAGCCCTTATTCGGGAGGTTGGTTGAGGAATTTTTGGATCTGTTTCCTCCGTTAAAATCTGTTGTCATCGTACCATTTTCAGTGTGATGTTCATTGATGAGTTGCTGTTGTGTTGAAGGTTGCCAGCAAGACTAACGACTCAGCCGGAGATGGGACGACCACCGCATCGGTCCTGGCCCGGGAAATCATCAGACAAGGTCTTCTGAGTGTTACTTCTGGTGCCAACCCTGTTTCCCTCAAGAGGGGAATCGACAAGACAGTGCAAGGTTTGATAGAAGAGTTGGAGAAGAAAGCAAGGCCTGTGAAAGGTCGTGATGACATTAAAGGTATTGTGGTGACACAGGGCTGATTTTTTTTTTTCAATCAATATGAAGAGAAGAAATCATACCAATTATGTATATATACATATGTGTGTGTGTGTGGTGTTTGTATATTCAGCTGTTGCAACTATCTCTGCTGGAAATGATGAGCTCATTGGAGCGATGATCGCTGATGCAATTGATAAAGTTGGGCCGGATGGTGTTTTGTCCATTGAATCGTCATCCTCTTTCGAGACAACAGTCGAAGTTGAAGAAGGAATGGAGGTCTGTATCTTCGATTTCAGATCCTTGAGTTTTAACTAATTTTTATTGTCCTCGTCTCAGATTTTACCAAGGATAACCTGAATTCTTGCTTGGATTATAATGTAGATCGACCGAGGTTACATCTCGCCTCAGTTTGTCACGAGTCCTGAGAAGTTGCTGGTTGAGTTTGAGAATGCTCGGGTGTTGGTCACCGATCAGAAGATCACTGCAATTAAAGACATAATCCCCATTTTAGAGCAGACAACTCAGCTTAGAGCTCCGTTGTTGATTATTGCTGAGGATATTACAGGTGAGGCCTTAGCAACCCTTGTCGTGAACAAGCTCCGAGGTGTCCTTAATGTTGCAGCCATAAAAGCTCCGAGCTTTGGCGAGAGGAGGAAGGCCGTGCTCCAGGACATTGCGATTCTGACTGGTAAGCGGACTTCAAGAGTAAAGAAATCGATAGTTGATAGATTTCGGGGATGACCCTTCTTCAGAAAAGGGTTCAATATTCTGTCTGTGTCCTGCTCTAAGTTTCTGCAACCTTGCATATCGTCCAGGTGCCGAGTTCCAAGCTAGTGACATGGGCTTGCTGGTTGAAAACACAACTGTTGATCAGTTGGGCATTGCCCGGAAAATCACAATCAGCAAGGACTCTACTACAATTATTGCCGATGAAGCTTCCAAGGACGAACTACAAGCCCGGATCGCCCAACTGAAGAAAGAACTGGCGGAGACAGATTCCGTGTACGACACTGAAAAGCTAGCCGAGAGAATTGCCAAGCTCTCTGGAGGGGTTGCAGTCATTAAGGTCGGTGCTGCTACCGAGACAGAACTGGAGGACCGAAAGCTACGTATCGAGGATGCAAAGAACGCCACTTTCGCCGCCATAGAAGAAGGAATCGTCCCTGGAGGAGGTGCAGCTTTGGTCCATCTCTCAACCGTCGTTCCAGCCATCAAGGAGAAGCTTGAGGATCCAGACGAGCGGTTGGGAGCTGATATAGTGCAGAAGGTAAAACATGTTCCAAACCCATTAACATAACATATGTCCGAGTTGGTGACTAAGGTTGTCTGGAAAAAAAAAACCACAGGCGTTGGTGGCACCGGCAGCGCTGATAGCACAGAACGCGGGGATAGAAGGGGAGGTGGTGGTTGAGAAGATAATGGAGAGTGAGTGGGAGATAGGATATAACGCCATGACTGATAAGTACGAGAACTTGTTGGAAACAGGAGTGATAGACCCGGCAAAGGTGACGAGATGTGCGCTTCAGAACTCGGCCTCGGTTGCCGGAATGGTACTGACAACTCAGGCCATCGTCGTCGAGAAACCTAAGCCTAAGGCTCCTGCCGCTGCTGCTCCTCAGGGTCTCACGGTGTAATTGCCATTGAGTTTTTTCTGTAATGATTTTTGTTGGTGAACTCGAATTGGAAAAAGGAAATGTCTTTAATGATATCGAGATTGTTGTCCCAAAATGTCAAAAGGGTTCCTCTGTAAGGCATGGCTTCTCTTTCTGAAACCATTAGGGCATATATCAACGAAGAGAAAGTGCCACTGGATTCGGACAAAGCTTAAAGGTTAACATCAGCCGTGGAGGTGCCAACAGAGGAGGCAAGGACACGAAAAGGGTATCCCAGATTCAACGATTTCTGCGCATCCAAGGAACCTTTTTTTTTCTGATACAACTCGAAAAAGGGTCTTAAGATCGACCTGAAACGAGAGAGATAAGGGGCTTTGGAGGATGAAATCGAAGAGAGAGAGAGGGAGAGAGAAGCGTTTTCCAGGATTTGAAATCTGGGTCGGTCAAATTGTGGCGATTCGTTGAAGAGATTGAGGTTGTAGACTGAAATTTGGACGTCTTCGTTTCGATTTAGGGTTCTTCTACGGAAGCATACATTTTAATTTGTGTTGGTCGTTGACTCGAGTTTCTCGGCTGCGGATAATGGGGTCACGGCTTTGGATTGACTGCTGAGAAACTACATGAAGTTGGATTCTCCATAACAAGAACAGAAGGGTTTTAAACCAAAAACGACATGAAGTTGGTTCAGCATTTATTTTAAAATGCATAGATAATATGTTATATAAATTTTAAAATATCATGGGTGAATCAATTAATGAGTTGATTTAGGCTTTCCCAAAAATAATAAAATAAGCCTTTCCGTCCAAGAAAGAAATGACGCTAATTCTCATGTGAAATCTTTATATAACACGTTATTTTTAATTTTAAAATTAATTTATATAAAATAATAAAACTGATAATATTTTTTACGGCAATCAATATCCAATAAAAATAAAACTAATATTCTTCTATGTTTTCATAATATTATTAACATATATATAATAAAATTCTCTGAATGGTTTACATCAAACATATATCTCACAAATAAAAATAAAAAAAAATCTTCTCGTACGTTCTTCAACAAGAGTATTTCGGGGAAATCAAATAAATATAGGAAGGTATCTACTTACAAACAAGGACCAAGTGGCGATACAAACAATGATATAAAGTTTTTGATTTGCAATAAATGTATATATGATATCTCTCACTCACTCTCATTGCATGCTCATGCTATGGTCCTCACTCGCCATTGCGAGCTTTTTATGTAAAAGGACAACTCATCCTGCCATGCATGCATTGTACCACATTTGTTTTTTATCCGCTCTAAAATGAAAGATTCTATATGCGTATTTTTCCCCACCGTTACAAAAAAATGTAGAAATATATTCTATTGATATATATATATATATATATATATATATATATATATAATGGAAGTGGTAGTAAAGGTGGGAGACCTCCGCAGGATACCGGAGTTCCGAGTTCACCACTCCACAGTTCGCTTTTAATGGTCGGAAGTTTACTGCAGCTTTACAAAGTGGCAGAAAGAATGTTCATTACATGAAATGAACATAAAAAGAGAAAAACACACACACATACTTTGTGCATGTAAATAAATACCTATATATATAAGGATGTAATCATTATATGCATATATATATATATAACAATCACAAATCATGTAAACATCATAGCTATAAATGCGTACGTATAGCCATCCATCATATATACAGTATTGATGTATAACACAAATACGAATTCGCAAAAGAAAAAAAAACATTATAAACAACCAAGATGAAATTCAATATGCTCGCGGTACAATTGACAGCAATCTATATAATAGGAGAAAAAAATTCAACTTCATGAACCGTTTACAAATTTTGCAATGGATAATTTCCATCCTTTGGCCATCGGCTCCAATGCAATGACCAATAAAAATGTAAATACAATTTTTAAGTTAAATAACCATAATTAAGAAAATATTTAAAGGGTTTATTTCCTAGAAACATAAGTAAAAGATTTGAAAATTCGGGTTGGTATAAGAAATAAAATAAGAGAAGAACAAATGATGGCACATATAATCACTGCGGACAAGAGAAGAAAGAGGGAGATAGAATTTAAATTAGGGTGATTTAGTGGTAAGAGAACATGCAAAACATATTCTTATCCTATATTCAATTCTAAACGTGGAAAATGGTATTCATCTGGAGTTCTGCGATGTTCTACGATGTTTTGAGAGATGTAGTTGACAAAAAACATAATGAATTTCTGGATTATTAAAAAAAAAAGAGACATGACAATAAACACAAACGAATTGAGTTTATAGATAGGCTCAAGAATATACAAAACAGTGATACTTATATTATATATCTGCTATATGAGATCCATGCAAAGACCTTACAATAAACACCTCAAATTACAACTGAGTGGGCCGACATTTATGAGTAAATATCGGGATATGAATTACAGTGTATAGCTAATTTCGTTATTTAGGGATAAATCAAATGAGCAAAATTAAAAGGATGATTTTAATTAGTAGCTATTTATTTAGCATTTACTATATATATATATGAATGTAACAAGAACAAAGATAATAGAGATAAGACTTTTAACTTTAGAGACAAGAAGTACATCTTTTATTAGCAAGAGCACAAAACAAGAGAGGACCATAGGGTTGGGACAGTCATGGTGGCACACACTCATCCATGACATTCATTCATCATTAATGCCAGTTAATGCATCAAGAAGTATCAAAACACAATAACATATATATATATATATAAACACAACCCATATATATATATATATATATACGTGTATATGTATATACACACCGACACCAGACATTACTCCTAAATAAATTACATCAAAGTTATAACTACTCAACTAGGATATTCGTAATTAACAGAATCCCCATCACAATGGAGAAAATGAATCTCATATTCATACTCGACTCTATCATCGATCTGAATGCCAACAACAACTGCAAAAAGGATATTGACAGTGTCTTTGGAGAACATCAGTTTTCTCCTCATACCCTTTCTCTAGTTCCAACTTCCACTTGCGTATATTTTGAAATCTATAAGTGTGTTTTTTTTTTCCAATTATTATGGAAAAAAACAAAAACATAACTTCTGTATTAAAATCATAAGATACATAAGGAACTATTAATGATAAAACCGTCTGTATGTTACCTGTGAGGCTGTGTGGCTTGTCCGAATCAAGGGAAGCTTTGTCAATCCTGTTGGGGACTTGCAAAAATTAAGAGTACACAGATTAGTTGTTTATAGAGAAAATGGAGGGATTTGATTCCATTAACAGAATCCGAAAACAAAAAACGAATTTTTGGCCCGATCTTTCATCTAATAACTCGATTAACCAGCGATTTACAGAATCTAAAAAAACCCCAAGAACAAATAAAAGAATACACAAAATTTCATGAGAAGACCTACATGAAGGTTCGCCAACGTAGAGATCGCCGTCGGATATGAACGGTAGAAGGAGAGAGAGAGAGCCGTCGATTGCCGATGCAGCATCATCAAGATTCTCACTTCCGGGGAACTTTTGGGAGAGATTGAATCACCGCCGTTCGTAAGCAGATGTGAATCTTGATGATGCTACACCCGCAAACAACGACTGTGTTTATACGGCGAACGCATAGGTCTTCCGATATATAATCGGTTTTCGGGACAGGATAATTCCATATCCATGCATGAAGAAAAAAACAAAAAGCTCAAACCGAACAGAACTTAGGGCATGAAACAGAACCCGATTTGTGTAAAATATCACGAAAATAATTTTCCCATATTCCACACACGAAAATACATCGATTTTCTTACCGAAACAGAAAGCGAAAAATATTATTTTTTAATTGTTTTGGCGATAAGTGAGGGGGAAAGGTGGAAGGCTTCATATGATTGGCTGAGACATAAAGTGATTACGTGACTTGTGCCCTCAATTTCTGACTTCTTCCACTTAATTATAATTAACGAAACCTCGACGGAAAAAGATTTTTTTTAAAAAAAAAAATCAAGAACCAAAACCCTAACTTGCCTTCCTTTGAAACAGAGCCGTGTATGAGAAAGGAGAGACTTGAGAGGGATTTGTCTGGAAGACGAGAAAATCTATGGAGAAACACAAAGGTCTGGGTTTCTAATTGATATATATATATATATATATATATAGCTCGAATTTTAGAATAAAAACACCATAAAAATTCATCTCCTTAGAAAAACTATTAAATAAATACGAAACATATATAAACCATTAACGGACGGAATTCATCTTCTTTTTTGTGGTTTAACAGCCAGGTGCCGTAGACATGCACGGGCCAATTAGAGAGCTAAAAGCACAGACACACACAGAGAGAGAGAGAGAGAGAGAGAGAGCGCAACATAAATGCAGTGGATCGTGTGTATCTATATATACGTATAGATATCTATGTGTTTATACGCAAAGATTTGGATTTATCTATATATATATAAT